CTGCTGGACTGATTATCCCTGCTTCCATCTGGTATGTGTACTTCTTTTGGGTGTTTGATATTTCTATTAACAGAGAGCTGCAAGCTCGCTACTTAAAAATTTAAACAACTTGTTTAATTCACAGATCTATCTGGACACAACCTAGCTCCATAGGATTGGTCTGCAGCAAGAAGTTCTTACAGGAAAAGCAAGTTTCAGAACCAAATCCAAACTCTTTTCAGTAGAGCAGTATCAATCCCCAAAAGAAACTGAGAATATAAAAATGAAATTCATCTACACAGCATAAGCCAATGATCACACCCTTTCCTGCCTCCTCTCTCTCCCCTTGTTCTGCAACTTGTGTCTAGAAATAACATTTTTAATATTTTAAGAAGTGTCACTATGGTATTTTACTGTGCAATGACCAATTGAATAAAAAAATGGAATCAATCACTTGATTAAAAAAAAAAAGTTACTGAGTTAGGAGTCACAAGAAAGAATTCCAAGCATCACATTTTATTATGATTATCAGACATGACCTTCATCAACATGTTTCAGATACAATCAGCCAGCCAAAATCTTACTTGAAATATAGTCTATAAAGAACAAAACCGATACCTTTCTCCATCAGAAAAATTTACAGAGTCTTCTACATTACTGCTGGTAGAATCATTTGTACGTGCTACTGCTTGTGGAATTGAAGCTTTTAACTGTGCAATTTCTTCTTTGAGTTCTTCACACTGACAGGCAATTTGATTTTTTTCCACTTCTAGTAGTTCGATCTGGCAAGTAAATAAAAATAATTCTATAGATCAAAAAAAGGGTGGTAGAATAAAATGAAGATAACTTCTACAAATGTAAATCATTTAACTTTGTTGACTGCTTTTAATTAAGTTTTCAGTGAGATTTTAAGATATGACAATCTAGACAAACTGCTATAAAATAGCCAGCTGTCAGCTGAACGGCTGTACACGTGTTCCCTCTAAGCCTGCTCAGTCTTTCAATGGCTGGACTTGATGATCTTAAAAGCCTTTTCCAGCCTAAACGATCCCACAATTCTTTTGCAGTCACAGCCACTCAGAGCCTTACAGCCTCTCTGAGGTTTGCTTATTTTTATCTATGGATGTAAAAAACCAGAAGCTCTTAGGCTAATTTAGTACTTCTTCCCCCTTTTAGGTGGCTTGATTTAGTTGGTGAACTGAACTATACAACACATCGTGTACTACAATTGCTATGAAACACCCATTAAAAAAAATACAGTTTTAACAAACATACCTCACTTTTGTATCTGTCTCTCTCAATGCTGCACTTGTCCAGCTGCCTGAAAACATCATCCAGTTGCACAGCAATTTCATCCACCTCACTCTTACTTTCAGCATCAGCACACTTACTGCATTCAGTTTTTAAGTTCTGCAGGGTACTGCACTGTTCCTTTAGTTTTGCTATTTCTTCTAAGGCCTGTTCGTAGCGAATGGTCATTTCTGCCAAACTTCTTTCATTAACGTTTTCTTCAAGTGAAGAAATTGTCTCAGTAGACTGATGGCACATTTCTTTTTTTACATACTTATTATTCATTTCTAAAATCCTCTGTTCCAGTGTTTCTACTTGTTTGGTTAATACTGCACATTTGTTTTGGTACATTTCTTTTTCTTTGTTTAATAAATGCAGCTGATTTTTCAGTTCATTTCCAAGATCTACAGACATCTCAGAAACATCATTAATATTGCGCTGTTCAGGTTCCGTCTCTGCCCTGGGAATCTGGATATCAGTGTCATCTTCTACCTCTTCTTTTTTTACAACTAAGTTTGGGAGCTCTGTCTGTGTTGCTGAGGTCAACTGTTCACTTTTTGATTCTGAAGCAGGTGCACTGCAAGGGTCTCTGACACCAGAGTTTTCTTCCCTCCTCTGCTCTTGATCCAGATTAATACATTCAGTTTTTACTACAGGAACATCAGAATCTGCTGAAGGCTTTGGAGTACTGCTCTCCTCTAAAATAATGACATCATCATCATCATGGTTGTTGAATGTTTTGTCATTTAATCGAGGTGTTTTTAGAGACACAGGCGTCACACAACTGGCCATCTTCCGTTTGAGACTGAAAAGCAAAATATTAAACAGATTATTGTATTGCTCCAATATTGCAGTCATTTGTTTCACACTGTTTAGTGTTTCCACAAGCAGTATTAAAAACTGCCACTCAGTAACTAGAATAGTATTTGAGGATGTTCAGCCAGAATAAATACCTTTCCTGTAAAAACTAGTAGCTGACATTCATACACTAAATTATTAACTTCACACATCACTTTGAAACAGACTCACTATTTGCAGGAACAACCCCTGCACCCATTACTTAGCAAACAGACATCAAAGAGAACATACTGTGGAGTCTGGTTAACACAGTACAGCCTTGTCCTAAAGGGACATGCCAGTAAGCAGTTTTCCTCATCAGTGCACAGTATTTTTTGCCAAATTCGCTTTTGTATTTCATAAAGGTTTCACGTATCTTTAATCAACCTGCTGGTTGCTGTACTCTCCTGTACTCCCAAAAGTGACTTAAGAATTTTGGCAGCTGTTGCCCGAGGATGAGACTACACCCAACACCATCATTTTAATAAACAAACTGCAAATTTTAGAAATAAATAGGAATCTACCTTGTACAGGTTCACTAACCTGTTGTCAGAATCAGAATGAGGTGAAGATACTGATCTATTTAAAAGCAGCATAGATCTTTTCACAGAAGCATTTAATGTTTCTGGTAAAAGTGATCTTGGAACAGCTTCCTTCCCACTCACAGGTGAGAATGTTTTGAAGTCTTTACTTGAAGAAACAGGTGTTTTTAAAAACATTTCATTATTGATCTGGAAGATATTTTTTAAGAACGAACAGAAACAGACATTAGTAGATTCTGCAGAATAGGTTTGAGCAGTTCTCCTAATTCTCTGCCAACCCCCCAAATTCTGACCAACATTTCTTATGTTGCAAGGATCATCTTGAACCCAGGCTCAATATTTTGCAGTAAGAAAGCCCAACTAGACTAACACCACCTTTCTTAATGATTGCACAACCCCTCCCCCAAACTGCTGATGCATGTGAATTATTTCCTTCATGCTGGTTTAAGGTGTAACACATCAGAAAGCAGCAAGTTCCCTGTCGTAATTGCAGATTTCTGGCGGCTGTCTCTGAGGACTCTGAATACTATCTACTAAGCTGTACATTGCTCTCCATGCATGGATTTGTTGCTGTCAGAATGCAGCTTTCTGACCTTATGAGTTTTTCTCTAGGTACAGCTATTTTAAATTACTAAGTAGAATCTCAGGCAAGAGTTTTGCCCAAGCTGTACCTCTCTCTGAAGTCTGACCATCTTACATGAAGTATGGAACAGCCATCTCTGCCACAGTTGTTCATAAATAAATTCAGTTTGTCTCAAATGAGCAATACTTTGAAAAATTAATTTCACACTTGGGTAAAAGTAATGACAGAAAAATACAATTACGTATATAGGTTTAAAGGGCAAAAAAAATCTCCATAAATTGAGTGGTCTCAGGTTAGAGCTTTACTTTGAAAGCAACTTAAGCTAAGTCACACTTGGGAAATTTGATTCTGGGTTACAAGCCACACACTCTCATTACTCAACCACATTGATTTGCATCTACATTTAATTTGAATACCTCCTTGCATCTTGTACTAATGACTGACATCTTTTCTAGTGTTGTTTTGTGCGAGGGCTTTGTCTCTCAAACTCTTTCTTAAGGACTACTACATAGAAAGCAATGGTGTATTTTCCAATAGTGAACAGCAAGGACAGGATTTTCGGTCTGCCAGTAGTGAGCATAGCTACCAAAATGGAACAGGATGTAGAACCAGTCAGTTGGCCACTACCTGAAGCAGAGTAACCCAAAGCCCGCCCTATTCAATCCAGCTGCACAGTATTGTTGCCAGCAAACCCAACTCCCTTGCCAAAGTCAGTTTCCTATCAAGAGTTACCTGGTGACCATACTCTATTCGCTTCTTCACTTTTTCCCTGTCTCTGCAAAGCAGTAAGAAAAAAAAAAAAGAGCTTAGATTGAAAATGTTAATTCATTATAAAACCAAACCAAACTCAAAATCTAAGGCAAACACAGTATCTCAGCTAGATACAATAAAATTCCAATGAACGTATTCTGGTTTATTGAATTAAAATTTTGTGCACAAACTTAAAAGCTAGTATAGCTTAAAGTTTGCTTAACTTCAACCAAGTACTCTCTCCAATTAGGAGGTTTTTTAAAAAAAATTAAAAACTCCCACTTGTACAAGGCTGCCCAGAATTAATTAAAATGACCCAAGTCAGTTTTTTTCCCCTCCCCCCATACACGTTAGATAAGAATCCCCTCATTCCTAAATTATTCTATTAAGGTGTTCAGCTGTTTCAACAGGGAAATTGAAAACAGCGACCTAGACAAGGTCTCCTAACAGCCCTAGTGTCTTGCTTCTCCAGCATTCCAAACTACTCTCATAGCACTTACTATTATGAAGCAATACCCCTCTTTGAGAGCTGCATTTGAACACAAATTGATTCATTGTTATCCTTAGTCATTATTAAATGAGAGGCCCCTTTTGTTATGACTTTTCTAATTTTGAATTAGGAGGGAAAACAGGTATTAAGTCAAAGACATAAATTTTAATGTAATGCCAACATGCATTAAAATAACAGAAAAGAACAGTGCTATTTATCTATTCACTGCTACTAACAAGTCTTTTTTTCTGGGCACTATTTTCTGGCTGGATATATTCCCAGAAAAGTTGCACTTGTACCACAGGTCAGAGAAAAGGGAATTTAGCTTACAGATTTCTTCTCTAATGTTGAGATACCTGTATGAAAGTCTCTATTACTTACTTTTTCTTGTAAGTTTTCTCATATGTAGGATGTATTAAGTCATCATCTTCTGGTTCTTCTGGCACATTGCAATTCCTGAGTTAGAGAGGAAAGAAAAAAGCAAACAAAAAGGCACAGAAAGAGCTTAACATCCACGTTTATAACAGGTGATAAAAAAAGAATTAGAAGTAGCATTTAGATATTTATCAAGGCCTAATCTTACCGGAATTGTGGGTCAGGGTTGAGTGAGCAGTACCACTTCTCTGGCAAGTGCTCTATCCCATCAGGCAGCTTCCGCCATTTCAGACACGCATCACACTGGACCCATGTCTGGTCAGGCTGCTTTCTGTAACAGGAAGAGTTCATTCTCATGACTGAGTGCAAAACAGTAATAACAGCACGTAGAATTCTTCTACTGAGAGATGATACTCACTGTATCTCCTCAACTGGCAAAGCTAATGGATATTCTTCATTTTTCTTAGCTTTCATTTCATTCCAATAATCGTTGAGCTTTTCTCCTAATGCTGCTATTGTAAGTCTAAACAGGAAAAATTTTCAGAAGATCACTGTAAATAATCAAATCATAGCACAGAAAGAATCTTTCTAAATTACAGTGAAAGAATACATGTACAAAACACTCTAATACTTCTATTTGCATACCAGTAAGCTTTTTTTGCTTTTAGAAAATGCTAGAAATTAGGAATTCTGTGAAGTCATGCTTGTCAGCAAAGAAATTACTGGAATTATGAGTTGGAGCACAGACAAAGACTGAAATCAAGAGTTCTCAGTTCAAAAGCACTGTGAATACAGAGTGCAAACCCTGAAGCTACCTCACCAGTTAAACCTCAATCACAGAACAAAAGAGTTCAAAAGCACCTGTCAATCCAGTACTTAGCTGGGTATTTGGCCGATGTTCCTGCACATCCATTAACCGGAGGTTCATGACTACTCTAAGCTGGTGTACAACAGTATTACATGGAGATTGCAAAAGCAATCAGTTGCAATAAAAATCAGTTTGCAATAAAGCCAACCTACTGCTAAAAGCAGCAGGCCCATCATACCCTAGGTTAATTTTTAGGTGAATTAGTTTCCAGATCAGGGCTCATAGTGCAGCTCAATGACTACTGGAGCTGGCACACACAGGGTGCAGAACAACTGCAACAAGCCCCACAGGTGAAGTAGAGGTAAGACTGTCTCTTGCCAGTGTGCTGAATTTAGTGCCTGTAAAACAAGAGCCTGAAAGTCAATCCTTCCCTGCCTGGCTTACTCCAACACCTGCACCACCCTGCTTTCAACTAACACAAGTGTTCATGCAGTGAACTGGTCTAACCTAAAGAATTTTGGTGTAGATCACCTCTGAACCCAAGTCATGAATTTCTGTGAAAAAAAACCCTGGATGTACCACAAGGGCAGAAACGAGCAACAACGCCTGGATGGGATTGCACCTCTCTCCTGAAGAGGGAAGAAGGGCAGGTCAGCTTCCACTGATCATGAAATTACAGTAGCAGTTCTACATTGCTGTTTTAGGCTGTAAAGTTACCTTTTGAAAACTTATAGCACTCTTTGCAAAAAAACCTTTAGAAAAGATCTTTCAAATATAGTATTTTTATGCCCACGTTACAAGAGTTTTTGAAGAGAATCAAGTAAAAAAGCATGCAGTGCTCACTGTGCCAGCCTGTGGGAACATAGTGCAACCCTTGGTCAACACAAGTGGTTATCCTACCACAGCCTAATTCCTCCCCACTCTGCCAAGAGAGCTGTCAGTGCCACCAAGAAAGAAACAGTTTAGGGAACAGCTGTACTGAAAAATCTAACACAAGAGTCATTTTCCAGTTTGACTGGTTCCCAGATCTGCTTCACCTTGTGTTCCTGTTAACGGCTCTGCTAGCACAGTGGTGCTAGGAACAGAGGAATTGTTTAAGGTTGGTGGTATCACTGCAAAGAGCAGCACAAACTGTGGGTATCATTTAAAGATAAAGGCAGACTGAACTGCAGTGGCTGTGGCAGCTATAAGGCTTGCTGTTCCTCCTCCAGAGGACTGCTGTTCCAACAGCAAGAACGACCAGATTTATGTTGCTATAGCCCCTCAACTGCTGAAGTTAACAGCTCTATTGATTACAGTACTCTGGTGTGGTTTCTGGGTTATCTTCACGTGCAGCTCTGCACATATATCATCAATTCACGAAAGGAGTTGAGGAGAATTCAGGCTGTCAGTGGAAGCTGAACCACAACTGGCTGAGGAGCCAAACACGCAGCCTGAAAAAGGTAATGACTTCTCCTGGCAAAGCGTACCCCACCTATCTTTCTGAGTCTCAATACCCTAAATTTCTAAGTCCACACTGAAAGCAAGTGTTAGAGCACACAGAAGGAAAGTGTCTTCTTCTTTAAGTGCACATGGTCAAAGGAACTATAAACAAGACCATACAGAGACAAATCTCACTGACAAGGCAGATAAAGACAAGAACAACCCTGGTCAGTAACAGTAACTGGTAAGGATATCTGGAGTGTGAGAGTATTTATTTTTTCAGTTAGGAAGGTAAGGAAAGGAGAGTCATAAAACCTGACCAACTGGCATTAACAAAGACAACAACCAGAAACAAACTGGTCAGTGTGGTGGTACAGACCTCACCCACCCTCAAGGCTGCTTTGTAAAAAGTCTGCCTTTAATATTGGATGGCAAAATCAATACCAACTGTTGCTTAGTTTTCCAATACAAAAAGCTGGAAAGTTTGGTAAATCCTGGTGGCCAGGGCATTTCGACCTTGTGCACCCACCTGGAACCAAAACTATTACTCCACACATTCCCAGGGATGGAGTCAGTGAGATGGATTAGCTGGGTGCCCCTCAGCTAGATCCATAGCTCCTGAATACCCTGGACAAAGTGAAAGACCTCAGCCCCATGAGGGAAGAGCCAAGCTAGCCTGATAAGATAAATGGCCACAGTGGAAAAGTACTGGCTAGTACTCACTAAAGTCAACCACCTTATGGCCCTATAAATACCAATCCTAAAGTGGGGCCCATAGCAGTTCTCCAGGATCTCAGTGGGCTGAGTCTCCCCCTGAGCTGGAACACCTTTCAGGCTAGACTCTGACCATCTGCTGGTAAAGCTGAGGAAGGGAACCACCAGCTTGCTGCTAAGACTGACAAAGGGAGCAACTGGCAGCTTGTAACAGGCTGACAAACGGAGACACGAGTATTTGCAGTCTTCAGGACCTTTGTGAAAGGTCCTGAAGACCCTGGGGTACTCAAATTTATTATAAACTGCAGAAAGGCAAAGTTTTGATTATATGCTGGCCTCTAACATGATACAGTGTTCTGTGTGTGTGTGATTTGCTTAGTAAATTTTGTTCAATCGTATGTGGATCATTATATTTACTATTACCAAGTTTTGGTTTTGAAACTGTTAGTTTTAAGTTACCAGGTTGGTGTTGATTTACTCAGGTTGCTGCTATCGCTTATCTCACAAGGCACGACGTTGCACCCAGTGCTACACTGAAATCGCAATATCCCAAAAAAATCTTTAGCCATAAACCATTGACCAGCTCTGTGACAAGGGAGCTCACAGGGAAAGGGGCTCTATTCTGAACCTTGTGACCGAACAGGAGGATTTCTCTTAGCTCTAATATCCCCAGCTTCCCCAATATTCTTAGTCATAAACCACTGGCTGGGTGGCAGATTGGATTTAGCCACACCTCAGCTCCTCGGAGAGTTCCAACATGGAACCCTGGTAACTCAACAGGAGGGGCACTCACCCCCCTTCCTATCTCCCATCCCCCAATAACACTCTAACCCAACTCCAAATCATTTTACTGTGCACATTCACTCACATACACATTGTAATCATATCATATATAGACCTACACAAATATTATAATCCTATTGCTTTCTTTAATCAGCTTGCCTTGTAGCAAGTAATGTAGTGACCCTGCCATCAAATTGAATCTCAATTAACCTTTGTTGACTCTTTGCTACACTTCACTAAATTACTCACATTGTTAATCTTCTTAAATAAACTATATTGGGGCTTTCAACTGAGTGAGGTGCATTCCACTCATTTCAGGGCAAGCAGAATCTTAGTTCAGATTGTGTAACTAGCCACTTCAGTGATTTAAAAGAGGAAATATTCTAGGTGAAAACACTCATCTGCAATTATCAGTCACACTGGTTGACAGACTATCAAGAAACTGCAAGCAAACTAGCATTTTGCAACTGATAAGGATGCAAACTTGAGATGTCCAGGATGTTTGGAGTGGGTCAGTGTTACTATGCCAACTGTGAGGCAACGTACGGGTATGAAAGGTGTAGGTTACATATAAAACAGGTTCTGTCAGTACAGCTGTCTGGTTAAGCCCTGTGCCTGATCACCACAGCTTGTCTCATATTCTTATATTTTCCTAACTCTCTGCATAATCTCATTCTTTATCCCAGGCATATGTGTATGGCAAAGACTATGTGAGAGTGCACATTTGCTAGCAAACGTCAAACTGCACTATCCAACATGCAGGACACCTGTGAAGCAGGTAAGAGGGCTGGGATCCAGGCAGGGGTACCAGGAGGACAAAGGGGCCATGTCGATACTCAGGGGACCAACAAATGTACATGTGCTTGTGAAATCAGAACGTCACGTACATGCCTTCACTGGGGAGCTTCTGTCTCTCCCAGCTGAAGAGAAAGAAGGGACTTGGCTGTTTGTTTTATGGGAGTGTAAGTGTAAACATCCCATCCCTAATATTCAGAACAGTCACACAGCATAATGATGGAAGGTAAGCTTTTATTCTTTGCTATTTTGAAAAGAAGCCTTTATCATCAAGTATTCTACAGTGAACACCACTATTCAATAAAAAGTCTACATAAAAATATACAATTACCTGTATTCATTTGTATAGTCGAAATCTTGTTTGTTATGAGTTGGTTTTAGGAAGTTGCATTCAATAATCCCCACTACGCCAACACCCATGTTGTTTGCCTGTAAGACATTAAGTTCTATCAGAAAAACCAACACATATTCCATGTTAATACTGCACAAGTTTGTCAAAGGTAATTATAGCATATATACACACTAGGTAAAAACAATTTTCTGGCTTACAATTCCTTCCCAAAAAAGGAACTCTTGGCACAAGACCCTTACGTAAAATAAAATGCCTCTTTGTTCTGAATTATACACTCAGGCTCATATTTTGTGTATCAAGCTTAGTTTCAAAACAAAACATTAAATATTGTCTTAAATTATATGCAGTTGTTTTAACTGCTGCACAAACTAAAAAAAAAAAATAAATAAATGGTGGTTTTATAAAGGATACATCAATATTCTAGTTTCCATCTGTGTTCTTTTTCAAATCAGCATTTGAGTGAAAATGATTTCTGAAGATGTTAAAATATTTTTGAGCTTTAACTTCTTACCTTTAACTGACAGCCAACTCTTTCATAAGCTTTGATGAGTCTGTTTTTATGGTACATCATTATTCCATAATGATCTTTGTTTCTGCAGTTAAATCCAAAAGTAATTCTTACTGTTTTAGCCTTTTACCAAATATTAAGGAAAAACCTGGTTAATCTCACGTAACATCAATATAGTTATTGAGTGTTCATTCTAAACTGGATGCTGGAATTTGCTTTTTATATTGAAATAATTCCTTCAGTATATCTTCACAAGAATCAAACAAACAAAAGAACCCTTCCCCCTCCGCCAAACTCCCCCAAACCCACATGTATAACTGCAACACACCCAGCAGAACCCAGACAGGTTACATGAACAGTCACACCATTAAATTCAGCAGGCAACAACGTAAATATTTGGAAAGGATACATTCAAAAATTTTGGCCTATATATATCCCGCTCAATGAAGGCGAGGCTCTTGGAAACCAGCTGTGTTTTCACTTTTTGTCCTCGCAGAATGATCTGCATTGTTGGCTTCAGGTATAAAATACTGCAATAGGCCTATAAAACATACAGAAACTCCTGTTACTAAAACCAAAAAACAAGCAAACAAACAAAAAAACCCAAAATCTCAAGGTAGGAATATTTTACTGTACAAATCTACGAAGACAAACTCAAGTTTTAATTAAATTTTATGAAATGTGTGGGTTTTTCCAACTTGAACATGAAAAAAAACTAGGAAATGCAAGTGTGCATAATAAGCATATATCTATCACAAATTAACAGCAATTGAATGACAACTTTTATGAATATGGCAAGTTAATCAGGTGTTTGAAGATTCAGTTTTACAGCTAAAAGAGCTCGCAAACACACATGCCTCTTTTCTTACCACTATTGAGAGCTTAAAAATTCTACTACAAACTTTAAAATAACAGAAGCAAGCATATTAACTTTGTTTCAACTGGCTGTATGTTATCATAGCCTGAAAAGAGCTATGCATTTTTCTTATAAATGTGTAGAACTATGAATTTTAATTTGCATTTAGTTTATCACTGTATTTACAACTTGTAGTAATAGAAGTGGATATAGGACTTCAGTGAAACTTAGAATAATTGAAGGGTTTAGTTCAACTGGAATTATACTTCTGAATATTATCCACAAGAAGTGCCCAGAATACCTAGTCATTCCAGATGCACTTTCTTACAAAGAGAAGTCATCAAAGCTTATGAATAAATAGTGGAGATAACAGTCACATCAATTAGCCTTTAGAAAAGCCTCTTCCCCGTCTGCATGCGTGTATTCCAACAACAGAGCTGCTTCTGCATTCCTTTACCTCTTTGTGAAACCCAGCCGTGACACACTGCCAACCAAAACCTAACTGTTTTAAAAGATTCACATGGGCATGTATCAGTATTCCATGCACCTGTAGCTGCACTAGAATAGAACGTTGTTCACTCTGACAATCACACACCCCCCATTTCGTTTCTGAAGCTATTGATTGCATTTCCTTCTTGCTCCTTAGTGCATAGTGGCAGCTACGTTCAGTGAAAGTCATTTGTAACACTGCATAAACCCCAGCAATCTTCCAAATAAACAGCAAACGTTTACACAAGTATGAAGATACTCCACATTCAGTTTTAAAAACTGACATTAGCATATTACCCTAACATTTAAATTCTGACATTCACCCTACACCCCAATCAACACTCCTGTAGTATAGCACATAGAAATAAAAACATACACCCCTCCAGCTTCCAAAAATAAACAAATTTCTTAAGAAGTTACACATACCCGCAGTGAGTAGTCACTTTCTGGAACAATCTGATCCATTCTCTCTTGTTTTTTATATCCTCTTCTGCCTGTTTCATCTAAGTCTTCTGGAATTCTGATGTCATATTTATCCTTGTCAAAGTCAAACTCTGTTTTATCATTTTTATCTCTAAAAAATAAAGATGACACTAGTTATGAAAAAAAGGCAACACAAGATAAGATCTTGTGGTGGACCCAGCAGGTATCACAAAGATGCAAGAGAAAAGGAACTGCTTTGAGCCATGTTGGTTTTCCTCACCAATTTCCTAAAATGCACATACTAGTTCACCAGTTCCTTTCTCATATCCAAGGAATACCAGAGACATTCATGAATTCTAACTTAATTCTAAACAGGTCACATTTCATAAATAAAAGCAGACAGTATCAGCTTTAAATTCTGGATGGACCAAGACACTTGCATTCCTTCTAAATCCAAAACTTCTGAACACTACAAATTGCCTTTCCAGGACTTTCCAGGTGCAAAAATGACACCACAATTTTCCAACTCAGTAATTATCATGGTTTCTTATTGGTCTACTCACAAGATATATTTAGTTGCAGATGTATACAGTGCAGTATGCTGACAGTACCTTTGCACTGCATTGAGATTTTTCAGATTTGGCACAAATATTCCACAAATACAAGTCTTTTAATACTGGAACAGCTCTGTTTGGCTTCTGTTCGTTGGTTTGGTTTTTTTTTTAACATAGATTTGATTACAAAATATTAGAAACAACAAACTACTCCAAAATTTCTTTCCCATGACTTCCTGTGAATACACTCCAAAATTCAGAACATGAAAGTAATCTTGCCCAGTAAGCCGAGTTATCCATTTTCTTCTGCTCAAGCACTAAAGTGATGCACATTCCTAAAAATATTCATACCTAAAAATAAAAAGAAACTCTACCCAGGCAATGCAAATTAGTTTCTGAAGTATAAAGGAGGTGAAGTTTTTCTTATGGAGCAGGTGGCAAGGGGAAACAACCAGATTTAATAATACACACATTATCTCCAGCATTCTTGTATTAAAATCACGTAAGCTGAAAGTGATTCAGGCCTCTAATACTCACAATAAATTAGTGAAATTAAAAAACCAAACCCTAACTTCTCACCTGCTGTAACTGACTGAGATTTGTCCTGTAACATTTAATCTATATTCATCCAGGTCTGGTTTTCATCCCTCTCCCCACCACCACTCTTCTGATGGGCAACAATAAAGATTAACTGAAAAGCAAGCTAGTTTCTTGCCAAATCCACAGGACTGGAACAGTTCAGAATTGGTTACTATAGATACTTTGTTACTGAAAATATTTAAAACTACAGTAAGCTAAACACTTAAGACCGTAGCATAAAACAGCATCTTCCCAGTCAATTAGTGGCACCAGAGTTAAAGGCATGCTAACACTTTTCTGGACAGATCCTCAGACATTCCCTGCTAATAGGCATCAGCAAAGACATGAAGAAAAGGCAAGGAAGAGGAAGATGGGAAGTGATGACACCCATCTGTCACTACTACAGCAGCAGTGGCAGGTTTGGTTTTTTTTAAACTTTTTTAGCAGTAGGTTTGTTTTTTTTTTTTTTTTTAACAACTGTTAAAAGAAAAAAAAGCAGCAACAAGCAAGTTAAAGCTAGGAAAGCCTGGAAATCTCTACTGCTGTGAACAATACCACAGAGATTAAGTACATAAATAAGATAAATACACAGCTGTATTTATTTACTTGGATTTCTATTTAATTATAAACACTTGACAAGTTTAGGAAGGTCTAGATCACTCTAGAAAGATACTGCTGACTCTAAACTTACTTAAAAGCCAGTAATAGTTGCCTGTACATACAAATATTTTGCTTCAACTTTTGCAATCATGTTTCAGACCTATGAAATTAACAGATAGACACTTGATCTACTTCAATTTTCTTTCTGACAAAAGCAACAGTATCTTATCAAAGGAAAATATGAAAGTCCTTTACAGTCTCTCTTTTAATTTGTTACCTGAGATACTAGCAACAGTTCTCATGCAATGTTACAGCCCTTCAATCATACAAGTTTGAGTCTAGTTTCCCAGTTATAGCTAACTGCCCACAGACTTCTGGAATTATTCTACAAAAAAAACCACAACACCCTCTTGTACATATATGTTACCTTTCAGTGTATACAGACCAAATGAGATACAAGAGACCAGACTGGCATCTTACCTTCTAAGATTCCAAATGATAATTCTTGTTCCTTTTTTCCCTATTATAGCATCTAGTTCTGCCAGCAATTTCTCCTCAGTAGAAAATAAAGAATGTGTTAAGATGGCCTTCAGGCTGCTCTTGGATTCTGTTGGATCACTTATCTGTCGTAAGCATTATGTTAAGGAGAGTAACTTTGAACGAAGTAAATTCTTAGAAGGTGAGGAAACTTCTGCAACAGCATCCTGTGCTCACTTCACAGGTTCTCATTAAACAACTCAAACACTTACAAATTTAAAGGGTTTAACAAGTTACAGCCTTCCTTGAATCTTAAAATTTATTTAGGGCATCTAGACCCTTTACTAAATAATATTATCATTCAAATTTTGCATGTACCCACAGCTTTTAATTCAGGAATTAGTCAAAGGATATGGTGGTTGTCAAATGTCACTATAGGAACCATGACATGCTCTGCTTTTGTGGCTTCAAGGAAAGTCTGAGATAGCAGGCCCACACTCATGGTTTCTCCGTTCTTGGTGAAGACTATTGCATCTTTTCCCAGGCGCATGGACCCTGATTTAAACCCATTTCCATAGAGCCCCACTGGAACCCGGCCATTCATCACAGACTTCTCACTAAAGCCAAAGCTGAAACATGAGAACAGGAGAAAAAGTGTAAAAACCCCTGTAAAACTTGAAAACCCAAAAGACACAGGCCAGACTTACCAAATTGGACTCAAACACAATAAGTTCATCTCGTTTTAGAGATCAGGACCTACTGTACAACTAAACAATGTATGGTTAAGCAAATCGTGCAAGTTAACCATATAACAATGTGAAAACCCCACGGCAAGAACTCAGGGAAACTTATCTTTAAGTATGGAAAAGAAATCTCTCTGGAATTATGCACTGAGCATTCTTATGGTATTCTGTTATAATGTGGCTTCACAATAAATACGAAGAAAAGCCCCTAAAGCTTCCCCAGCCCCCTCCACTGTCTTAATGTGTGATCTACAAAATTTCTGTTAGTAACTACACCTGACATCTGAAGTCAAACAGGTAACTGTATACGGAATGCAGAATCTGGCAAGCAAGCTATTAATTATGGTATCTAACAGAAGAAGAAAAAACTAACAGTTTGAACTCAAGCTTAATGATGTTTCTACCCAGAAATTTATCTGCAGGGAGAGCAATCTTTCACATTAAAAAAAGCAACTGAACACCAAAGTCTTTGCTAACTGTAGAAACAAAAGTTACAGAAAGATCAGCTGAAACTCCGCAGAACATTTAAAGACAAACCACATCATTATAATTATCACTCCCTTTAGTTTTCCACCATATCTTCTATTTTCAATACTCCAAAGGGTTAGAACTGAACCTCCCTTTTTCTGCTTACTTGCTAATTTAACCTAAACTTAACAGAAAGTTAAAGTTTGTCAGAAAGGATAAAAGGAAATTATGAGATGAAAAATACAGCAAAGTTCTGTGCAAGCTTTACTAGCATCTGTCTATTCCAGAGTCTCACTTGGATAATCGCTCACCTTCAGGAATGTTACATTTATGAGAAAAATTAGTTGATTACACCTGAGAAAAAGGAATAAGCTAAGCAATAACAGGAGTAGAATGTGGAATTTTTACAAGAAAAAAATTGCAAAGAAAAGTTATCCACCTTAGCATTTTGTGCAGCTTCTCTGAGTTCATACCATTTCCATTATCAGTGAATGTCAAGCATATATTGTCGTTTATCACTGTCTTGTCTATCCATATCTGTTTAGCGCTCACATCTGGATCATAAGCATTATCTGAAGAAAAAGAAAGCAAACAAGGGTGGGATACTAACAATAAATGCAAAAAATAAACATTTTAAGCATGAATATATTTTAAAATGTTTAATTCCAGTGAAGATGTCTGATAACTCTGCCAAAGTTACCTCAATCCATATGCAGCACACAAGAGAGCTTTACCTGGCAAGAATATAATCACCCTGCTGGGCGTTAGTCTTGCAGCACTGCCAGACAGCTACAGGGAACAGCTCTGCCTAACTTTACTGTGGTGCCGTGCTTCCACATACATTTATTTTTGTGAATACAGCAGTTTAATGTAGTTCCCTTATCTTGGGCCTATCACCCTGAAGAGGCACATGCTAGACTAATGGAGCTCTGAAATTGTGGACATTTTTCAGCTCCACACTTAGGTATGTAACATAGTTGCAGAAGTTCTGTGATGGCACAGACATAAATTTCTCAGCTAAGTCATTGAACATTACTTAACTTTTGCACAAAAGTAAGAAGTCATAGTTTTTGATAAAGTAAATGTTATGCTAAAACCTAAGTCTCCTAAAACACTATCTTCCTTATAGACAACATTAAAATCAAAACATTACCATGAAACAGCTGCACCAAAACCTAGCAAACCTGAAAAAAACCACACAATTCCCCAGCAATTAATACGTAATATTGGTTACTTATTAATTGCTAAGTAATTCCCCAGCAACTAATAAGTAATATGCAGGCAAAAATTTAGGTGGAGGCGAGAGGCTCAAAAGCAAGAATAGAAAATGAAACCAAGGCAAGTTTTTACTTTCATTTCCTTTCTCCCAGGCAGCTGTTGCAATATGTCCTTTCCCCAGCCACGCACACAGCTCTTCTGACTGGCCCTCTGGAGCCTAGGGCTGCAACATCTTAACTGCTGCAGGTTTGTGGTCTTTTCACTTGGGAGATAAGATTTGAAATATTACCTCAACTTCTGATAATAAAATTTGAGACACTATAAAAACCCAAGTAAGCCAAAAAAAAAAAAAAAAAGAAGCCCAACTCTTCACATCCCAGACAGGTCTGTGAAACGTGAAGTTTGACTCCACAGTTGCAGGAGATGTAGACGGAAAAAAATTGTTGCTGATCTGCTACCACATAACTTCTATATTAAGAAAGCTACATGTCACAAACACATTTTGCTAGTGCCTTCAAATCTAAGAAGGTAAGACTTCCCCAGAAGAGAAGCATGAAATGCTTTAGACTAAGCTTTCTATTTGCAGGATTTGAAAGAGCTTGCAGCATTGCTACTGCAAGTGAAACTGAAACCATGGCTTCACAAAAACTTCTTGGCAGCAAAACCAACATATTTTTCTTATATCTCTTTTCCCCCCTTTCCCCAGCACTGTGCTACTCATGGCACTTGTCGAAGTGGGGGGAGCACAGGAAGGAGGAGGGATGAGACATGATGGCACAGTGGGAGGCAGTGACTCTGCCCCACTGCCTGTTCGGCATGTTCAACTGAGGGTCATAAATAACCAGCTCAAGCCAACACTGTGGCCTATAAAAGGAATCCCAGCTTGGTAGCTTACTTTCTAGAAGCATAAACAGCATCCATGGTGAAAAGGTTCGTACAATATGTTTCGGGATCGACAAAAGAGGACATTTCAAGCACAACCGAAAGTTTGGAATTACTGTTCCAATATGATGATTTGTGGAAGTCTTTTGATTTGCTAGCTCACTATCCCTCTCTTGATGTCCCATGTAACCTCTTTCAAGTATCACCATTAGTTCACCTAAGTGTAATCTGACTGAGGACTAATGGGAGAAGACAGCAATAAAACCATCAAAAAGTTGACAGGAGCGACTAGAGCTTAAAAGGCAAGTTTCAGTCTACAGACCATTAACCTTTAGGTAAGTTGACAAAACTAAAATCTAGGCCTCCATAATGTAACCTTATTTATATTATCTGATATTTAACATGTAATATAGCCTTACATAGCATGCAAAAGACAGATTACAACACTTATTTAAATCAACACAACTAACTTAAAGCCTGTATAACAAATATGCTGCTACTATGCTTTTGAAGCTTTGTCAAAGCAACACATGACAAGCCAGAGACAAAGGAAAAAGACGGCTTCACATGCCTTGCACAGTGCATCGACCATCATTCCGGCCACGTCTGGCATATGGTGATAAAGCAGTTGAACTGTCTTAACATACTTAAAATGTTGTTACTCCCAAAACAGACAGCCCTTCCCACAGCCATATAGTTCTAGTTTCCTCTTTTGTGACAGCCCTGGCCTAATCTGGCTGAACAAAACCTATTTGCTTTTTGTTGGGTTAATTTTCTGGATCAGCAACAGCAAAACTCGTGCACAGGAAGCAAAGGAATGTGTGACACAGAAGAGTTGCTCCCTTTGGCAGCAGCAAACTGCTAGCTAAGCCTGGCAATTTTTTCCAAACCAAACCTTTGAGGAGCCAGTTAAATAACATCTGCTAATGATTCCCTAACTTGGGAAACAAGCAACTGTGAAGATATCCAGTTAACCGTTATTTAAAAACGGACAAGACTATCAACAGGATCTAATAAATGTAGATGCACAAGCCCTAGCTAACAGCAGACAGAGAAAACAAGAACAGAACTCTCAGGATACTGATGGATGGACTATTAAAAGGAACCACTCAAGTATAACCCTGAAGATGTTCAGCCAGAAACTTGGTAACCCAAAAGAAGAAAATTAGGATGTTTGAGGAGTATTGTAGCAATGTGCAAAATTTAGTATTGGACGTTCTGATGAAGCATCACTTCTGAGGTGGCAGAGGGGAATAACACAGGTTGATTGGGTGCAAGCTGGCTGCCAGTCATCACACTTCTACAGCTAGACCTTGTGCCACTCTGTTGTACGTTCTTACTAAATACTATTTTAACATTTTCCTGTGTGAATGTGCTCTCTAGCCTCAGTGTGTGCCTGTACGCACATCACTGTGTGGGGTCAGGACTCCCCCAGATGCTTTGTTAACCCCTCTCTCCCCCAAAGGGGAAGAGAAAGGGAGTAAGGCAGAGAGACTTAACGACTAGGAATGGAAAACAGTTTTAATTAAAATATTACTACTACTACTACTAATATAATAGAATATATGCAAATATATACAAAACCAATATTGAACCCAACTCCCCCCGATGGCAACATGTTGCCATCACCCCCAATGCTGAGGAGCAGCCCCCAGGAAAAAGTCCCAGGCTGGAGTCAGCCACAGAGGGGAACTGGATACAGGAGCTGGATTGTGGAACTTGGTTCAGGAAGCTTGGGATCAAAGGCAGGATAAATGGAGGAGTCCTTAGATGCCAGCCAGTAAAGGAGCAGCAAAAGAGAGGAACAGGCTTCACCCTCACAATTCTTCAGCTTTATACTGAATATGATGGATGAGGGATGGAACACCCCATTGGTCAGTTTAGGGTCACCTGTCCTGTCCAATCCTCCCTGCAGGAGGAGTTACTTCCTGCACCCCTCAGTGTGGTACACAGGATTTAGCAGTGACCTTGGTGTGCACACCAGTTCTTGGTGGTAGCTTTATCACCACTAGAAGTAGATGCTTGTCTGCGAAAATATGCTGTTAAGTTCAGAAAGTGCAGTTAGTTTGAAGAGCTTTAGCTGAAAAGTAAAATCACTGAACAGAATTAGTTCTCTTCTATCCCAAAACAGGACAACGCATTTGTTCTGCTAGCAAACTTCAGGCTGGGCAAGCTGACAAGTTAGAAGAAACTAGCCACCACTGAGACCCAAGGTCTAAGCCAGAGACTGGTAAAAGTCCAGGACACAGAGAGTGGGAAGACTCCCAGGCCTTGGAGAAACGCCCAGAAACAGGAGTAAGCAGGAGCAATAAAGGAGAGTATGCATATGCACCACTACTGAACTTTAAACCTGGATAGCCAGGAAGCAGGAACAGGACAAGGCAATTTGTGCTGCTCACATTTGAGCACTGCTCACGTTTAAGTGCTTCTTGCAAAGCTGCTGTCCTCCTGTCTGCGGCCAGCTGTGCCCGAACAGGACGCAAGCGTGTGCACATCTCTGGAGCATGCACTCAGCTTTGCTACCCTCCAGGATTGGGAACAACAAAGAGCAGCAGGTCTGCATTGGGTGGAGTAGAAGAGAAGGAATTCACTTGGCCCCACAGGCTTCTATATGTGTGAAATGCGGGGGTTTGAAACCCGAGGCCCGAATTAAGGCTGACATATGGGTGATTCCCACAGCGCTTCATAAAGAGGGGGTGAGTTTGCCTTATAGCTTCCCCCCAGGGTGTGGCCGGCCCTGCAGGGAGAGCCAGAAGGGAAATGAGCCCCAGGGGTCCCGCAGTGAGTTGACAAAGGTCAGGTGTCTGCTTGGGGATAAAAGCTGGGACCACTGGCAGGGAGTCAGGAGTGTCTGTCTGTGGAGTGCAGTCCACAGAGCTTCCTGGTTCAGGGAAGACCTCCTGACTCTCCCTGGAGCTGGGCCCTGGTCTGTTTAGACCTTTGCGATCGCAGGCCTATCAGGTGAGAGTCGCCATGTGGGCACCTTTCTCTTATGCGTTTAACTTGCTGATCTGTCTGTTTCCCATGCCAACTGTGGGCAACCTCGGGTCTCTGTTTACACCACCTGTTGTGGGCCGAGTCACATCTTTTGTGGGATCGCTGGGGGTGGTGTCAATTATGTACCAGCTGATTGATCTGTTTGTACCCCCATCGATCATTCATGGAATGTCCTTTTTGCTTACAATACAGTCTGTGTATTGGTTTCTCTTCCTGCTGTCTGTATCATTCTTGTTGGGCCTGGCCACTGGCAGAACAATGTGGCAATCCTTAATAAGCTCAGTAGGAAGAAACCAGCAAATCCTACAAGGCCCCTGCAACTGACATCAGGTAGTACAGGTGCTGTCAAGAAAGAAAAAAGTCAATCTGACTGTACCAAAAAAACACATTATAAGATTCTGAGTGATAACAACAGGATCAACTCCTTTCCCTATCTGAAGGAAAAGGGTTTTACAACAGGAAATACATATTACTGTCAATTACTCGGGCAACCTATTTCATCCACATACCTATAAGTTCTGCAATTGCACTGAAAGGCCAGGTGTGACTGGTGGAGTTGGTATGCAAGAACTTCGGACAAAGCTGAAATAAACCACAAACAATGGCATTAGTTTGCACTCTTCAACAATACCAAGACAGAAAACAGTACCTTAAATAAAGTAACATTAAGCTATTTTGTAGAATGCTACCAAAACACTTTAATTTACTTTTAGATACTGGCATACTAGTACCTTTTATTTGGAGCATTAATACAGCTATAAAATCCAGAATTCAGCATAGTATTAAACTATATTCTGAGCAAGGGTTATGTTGTCATCCTGTCAAACTATCTTTCTAAAAGGAAGTATTGCTACGTAATGAGGTTACAGAAAACAAAGCCTTAGTCCAAATCTATTGACAGAAGCAGATGTTCTCTAATGTTAATACTCACAGATGTACATTGTAAAACTTAATCTGAAAAGTGAGCAGCACCTAATATACTCAGTGGCTTACTGTCTGATGCCATTGCTCCTTTTGCCCATATTCAACAAAATCACCCATCAGATTCTCTCAACGAGTGGTTTGTGCTTTTAGCAGTTTGATCTCATACATTTTATCCTCACTTATGAGAAGATTAATCAGAGGAATGTAGCCACTACTAGGGTTAGATAAGAATATGCAAATAAAGTACCTACTTATGAGACACATCTTATAGATGTCAGTGACAAAAGTATTCTCCAGTAACTTATGAAAGCCTAGATTCACAGAAATTCACCTTGTTCAAAGGACTAGAAAAACCAGAACTAAATATCCATACAACTTAAGGATTTGTCAGTGCAATGTTAGGAGAAATTTAACTGCTGAAACTGATACAGTTTCACCTGCATAACCACTGACAATACCTGTAATTATACTTTCACAAGGCATTTAACACAAAACCACTGCACACACACACACAGGTCTAAGCCTCACTGGTGTAGTTATGCTGATGGCACAAAAAGGAGTATTCATGAACGTGTAACACTGGAAACAGTCCTTGTACAGTGCAGTCACATGAAGAAAACATATCATGGACTATATATATATGAAATCAGAACATTTAAAAATAGTGTGTCCATAACCATGCTTCATAAATTTTACAGAACTACTACACTGAAAAGTACTTTTATACAGTTAGTAAAGACTAAATAAAAGCAAGCAACCACTTCAAGTCTTCAAGTTCATTTATCAGTTAAAAGGAATAACTCTACAAGCAAGTACCCGAGCCACAAGCCAGAGCAGGAGTAAAGCAGCAGCCCTAGATCAAATTAACATAAATTGCCAGGAAACCTCACCTTGATTCTAAGGTCATAAGAGCACAGGACACATTTTCAGACTGCAACTTAATCCCTGCATTTCTCCACTGAGCTAGAGTACAAGTATGGACAGAAAACATGTTCTTTGTTGCCATCTGTGCTTTAAAACTCCAGTTCTAAAAAAATTTGGTAAACTGAGTCAGGCTGTCACTATGCCCCTTTCAAACTCCTAACAGATACCTATAAATGACTTAGAATCCATGAAGAAAATGGCATATAGCCTATTAATGGAAACGTCACATAGTCCATGGCACATATTTAAAGGATCTTTCTTCCACTGCCATACAGTAAGTCCATGGACCTGACTTCTGTAACAATAAGCGATGATAATAACGATACGATAAGACTTGTATCACTCTGGCGTTTCACAGAGCTGGAAACCTTTGTCCCTCTGCTTTCTAAACTTTATGATCAAAATACACAAGAAACAATGGGGTTGCTGCCTTTTTTTTTTTTCCCCCTTGCCTGAAATATCTCCTTTTCAAAACAAACACTAACCTTAAAAAAACCCCAAACCACCACACAGATGCACACTCAAGCATTCAGCATCTTCAAGATGAGAGTTCACCTCACTGCTGAAATATTTCTCTGCTGCCAGCCAGTGAAAATCTCCAACCATACACAAGGTAGACTGGGAGCTCTGGAGTTACTGTTGGCATTGTAACCTCAGCAATACAGACTTGGTGGAAAAATCCTGACTGTACTTTTGATAAAGGCACAAACTCCCGGTTGTGACCCTCCCCTGATCACCAGACAGTGAGGATGAATGAAGGATCCTCAGCAACATCAACACAGACATAACCACAAATAAGTGTCCTTTTTCCTGAGAAGCAAAACGTACAGAAGTACAGCAAGAACACTACTTCATGTGTTGCCTGTGTAATGCAATGGTTCTCCATCCCTTGTTCCACTGCTGCACAACAGTGATTAACTTTGAAAAGAACAGCATCTTGAAGAAAGAGCATCTTCTATAAACAAGCAGCAGAATTACACTGATCTTCTCTGGATTGCTGTTTCAAATGGTAAAGGTTTTGAGAAAGGCTGGAAGGTGGTACATGGAACTGGGAACTTGTGAACATGCACACAGAAGAAGAAGATAAGGGTTGGAATATGGGAACTGTAACAAGCTGTCAGCAACAATTCAGCATTTTCTGATGAACTCTTCAGTATATATTTAAGGCCATTTTGTCCCTTTACGCTTCATTTCATCAAAGCACTGCTTTAATTAGCTGATGAATAATGGAAATTCAGCAAGTATGGTAGTCAAGAGTTGGTCCCCAGATGCACACTCCCTTTCAGCTACGTTAGTGCGACTGTAGCAAAGACAGCCCAGTTACTTTGCTCACTGTGCCTCAGATGTTTTGTTCCTAAGTGGGTTTTGGTTTCATTTTTTCTCCTGAGAGAAAGTTCAGCCAAACTCCTTTTGGGGATATGACCAAACGTCCCCCTCCTTTGCATTGCATTATACTGTTCGTATTACAAAAAGACTAAGCTACACTTAAGAGAAAAGCATCTTCTATAATTACGACCAACAAATATTTAAGAATAAAGCAGCTTATCTCTCAAAAATGATAGACAGCTTTGGGAATTTTCGTTTTCCGAGAAAACGGGAACAGTTGCACCCCTTGCAGATCAGAAGGCACGCAAAAGTCAAAATATGATGGAACAATCCGTCTAATCTTACAACTTCTTGGGGAACAACCCCACTGCCATTTTTCTCCTCTCCCTCCTAGTTAAGCTAGTCCAGTTACATGACTGTGTAAAGAATCACAACAGGGAACTGATCCAAATTAAAAAACATTTAAAAAAAAAAAAAAAATCTTAATTTTCACCTGGATCATTTCCCTGACTTGCCTCGTCATGCAGCTCAAGAAAAATTTCACCAGAGCAACAGAAAGAGTTAAATGGCAGTGTGGAAATGAGCTACCAGGCCTGCTCCTACTGCTTGTATTGTTTATACATGCTTCTGAAACTAATGGAAATATTTTGGTGAAACTAACCATACTTCCAAAGAACAGCTGCTGATGGAAGAGTCTGCGACCACTGGCTCTCTCCTGTTCTCTAGAAAATAGTCTTTTACACCGTAGGACACAACCTGTTAAAAAAACTGCATCAGCTGCTTCATTTCTTTAGTGAAAACCTAGAAAAACCACAGCTTTCACCAGCAGCAGACTGAATGCAAATTTTCAGTTATGACTACTGACAAGCAAAGCCAAACTGCACCTAAAAATAATTCAGAAAGTTACCAGTTTCACCAAGAAAGCTTAGGTTTCTCATCTGTATCTGTAAGAGTTCAGCTTGCCAAACTGATTTCAACTTGAGAAAAACTTTAAACTCTGCAATCTGACTTGTGATATGCAGGGGTTTTGCAAAGGCTTATTATTAATAGTGCTGTGTTTTCCTCTGCATTAAACCCAAAGGAAGACCTCCCTCCTCTTTTTTTTTTTTTTTGTTTTAACTAAAGGAGGAGAGAAATCCTCCAATAAAATATAACAGACAAACTGTGGATTTCAAGCACTTACAAGAATTAAAGACCTGAAATGAAAGCATAATTCTTAAACTTCAAGTAGATGACATTCATGGCTAACCTCTACAATCAGAGTAACGTCTATTAAGGTAACTTAAGAAGTGGTAAGAATATACTAACATATGCCTGTCACTCAAACTTTTAGTAAGTTACTTACTGCAATAATACAGCTTCCTTCCACTATTCTACAAGTAAGGTTATGAACGGTGTGTGTGTGCACTGTAAGTGTGGGTTATGGGCACAAATAGCTGAAGTCAGAAAAGTTTAAAAAAAAAGAAAATCCCGATTCATCAGTGAGGTACCGAACAACTGGAAGAGGAGCTTTAACTTCAATTGCATTAGCAAAGACAAAGAAACGACCACTTGCCACAAAATGCCAGGAGCGAGCGGGACCGTGACTGAAGAGCAAATTACTACAGTCGATTTAATTGTAGTCACACTTATCGCCCTTGTTAAAATGTAATTAGGCCTCTTGGAAAAAGTAGTTAAGACTTTAAAGTTACCAGCTTCCTATTAGAGGTCACTGTTCACAACTCATCACATCCTACAACAGGCTGTGAAACCCGCCCGCCCCTCCGCAGTGACCGACCACAGCCTG